TCAGAGAAGAGGCAGTGTTTACATTGCTTCCTAGTAAAACCTCTAGTGACAGTCACTCAGATGGTCACTAGATGTGCTTCCTGTGTCAGTGCTGCACAGTGTGCAGCACCTACATTCAGGGCCTCCACACTCTGGAGATGCTGAATGTTCCCCATAGAGATACATTGATTCAATGCATCTCTATGAGGATATGCTGATTGGTGTAGTGTTTTGCAGCCAATCCTATGGCAAAGCATTGCATTGGCTGAAATCATCAAGCTTGGTGATCTCATCTATAGAGGACAGAGCCAGTCGAGGGGAGACCAGCATGGCGTGGGGGATAAAAAAGGTGAGTAAAAACACTATTTTTAAACACACACAGACACACACATACACCATGACACAGATAGACACATTATTGATACCCGTGGGCGACCGCTGGGTGGTCGAACAGGGCAGACAGCTGGGTGTGCTGGCGGCCGCAGAGGGAGCTGTGATGGCGACCGCAGGGGGGAGCCGTCTGTGTGGTCTCTGGTCCCCAGCGCGCAGCTTAATGAGACTGGGACCCGGACACATTATTGCTACCTGTGGGCGACCGCTGGGTGGTCGTACAGGGCAGACAGCTGGGTGTGCTGGCGGCCGCAGGGGGGAGCAGTCTGTGCGGTCTCTGGTCCCCAGCGCGCAGCTTAATGAGACTTGGACCCGGACTCATTAAGTAGTGCGCAAGGGCGGGGTAACAGAGCAGAGACATCACAGCTCCCCCAGCGGCCGCCAGCACAGCTCACAGCTCCCCCTGCGGCCGCCAGCACAGCTCACAGCACCCCGCCCGGCCCCAGGTGCCGACGGCCCACCTGGAATTTTCCTGGTATCCCGGTGGGCCAGTCTAGCCCTGATTGACTCCATCTGGGACATTTTGAAATTAAACAGTTTATTAACAGTCAAACCCCTTAAAGTAAGATATTACACAGAATCTACAAGTACAATAACAACTTAGTTGAGATGCAGTTGTTATGGTGCACATAGTGCACTGAATACACAGTATTCAGTGATCTGAATACACAGAAACATCACATGTGTAGTTGTCAGTCAGCGGGCAGGTCTCCAAAGAAGGCTTAACACATTTCACACCTCAATGGCCACTTACTCACAAGCAGACATCAGCCCAGCTGAAGTAATTCTAAAAGAATGTCATGTTTTTGAGTAAATCAGTTATTCCATTGGTTCAGAATAATTAGACCAAGTAGCATAACGCTCACTATTTATGTATTGCAAAAAGTGAATCGGCTAACTATACCATCAACACTGATTTGTCTGTAGAGTGGCACAGGTATTCGTTTCCCTTTTGATCAGTGATTGCTAACCGTGCCCCTGCAGATATTTGTAAGCTTTATCATCCATGATGAGCAGTCAGCCTTCAGCCAACATGGGACATTTAATTCTCAAACATCTGCATTGCCAAGGTTAGTGTCACTGACACACATTATACGTCTTCACATTCTGGCAGCAAATTGCCCGAGTCTTCCCATCTGTGAAATGAAGTGGTGTGGGTTTATTCTGCTCTGTTTCATTTAACTTCTCCCTTAAGCCCCTGGGTACACGTCCTAACTACATGCAGTTAGATGTGTTATCTTGTTTATACAATAGTTCTCTCCAAACAAAAGACAACATTGTTTTCTCTGATTTTTACCTCCCTCTTCTCTTGCACATACAATCCCATTGGGAATACACTTGTTAAATGCATTACAAGTATTCTGAGTATTGTATGCCAAATGGTGTGAATAATAAATACAATCTGTGGGATGTTTGCAATAAAGCTGTGTCTACTTTCTTTGCAGGTATTCCAAAGAGAGGCCAATTTTTCGCATTCTGAGAAGATATTCAAGCCGCATTTTCTTTAGTGTTGAATTTGTGTATGTATGACAAGTGCTGCCTTTATCAAGCAGCTTATCCAAATAGTTTTAAAGCAATATTTCAATACCAAAAAAAAGACTAAACTAAGCCATTTGTACATTTTAGTAGTGTTTTTTTTTTCTTCCTATAGATAAAATGTTTTGTGACTTTTTTTTTTTTTTTTAAAGAATGTAACTACATTTTCTTGTGGTTCAGCTATGTATTACTTAATTTAAAGTCTAGTTTGATTTTTGTAATGACGATGATCAATATTTGTTTTTAAAATTTCTTACCTGGCTGCTGCCTTTTTGATAAAAAAACTGTGTTAATGTGAAATGACTGGAATGTACTCCACACTCTGTTATATTTGTCATTTCTCTGTAAATAAAGCAGTTTAGTTGAGCATATGCAATCGTTTGAGGTGAAGGAACTGATTGCAGAACTGATAACTAGTTTGCATCAGACACTTGTAAAACAGCCTTTCTTAGCCACACTCTAATAGCCCAGACGTCTAAAAAGTTTATTACACTTTGCTTTGATGACAATTTAAAACTGTCAGTTGTATGTGAACATTTCTTTTTTTTATTTATCATATTTTACTTTAATTGATGTAATATGAAAGTGCTCAGATCTACTTGTACACTAAACTTCACTTTAGTTGGTCACACTCTACCCATTCACTCTGCTTTGTCCAAAGCATTTACTTTCACAGATGAGATGGCTTTAATTACTTTGAGTTCTCTCTTTCTCTCGTATACCTCACATTCTATTCACCATTTTGTTGTCTGTCCAGAAGAAATGTTTACATCTATACTGCCCTCAAGCCAACCAGTCTTCCAACCTCTTTTGTTAGTTACTCATGGTTGTGAAAATCCTAGTAATCAAACTTGCTTCTCTGCAGAGCTTGCTCCTTTTCTGCCACTCGGTGCCTTGTAGATAAAGCAGACAGACCCAATTCTTGCCCTGAGAATACATAAAAGTGGGACAGTGATGGTGTCACTTCTCACTCTTAAGCTGCAGATGTATATTTTTCAATTTTACATTGTACAAATTTTAGTTGCCTTCGGGTTATTGATAATTCCTTAATCTTAATTAAACATTATCCATAATCAGTTTTTTTTTTATAATCATGTTTACATTTTGGTGAGTAATTTTCATTTGTTTGTAATGATCACATTCTTGGAAACATATGAGTAACTGGCTGTAAATCTTCATGTCACTGAGACACACATATAGCTAACATGTTTTAGTTCATCCTTTTTTTTTACATTTGTGTTTATTTTTTTGGATGGCTCATTCTGTATCAGTTTATAAATAACCCTTAATCTTACTTGTGTCAGTAATACAAACATGTTCCTGGCACTATAGTGCTGGAACACAATAATAGGTCCCTGGCTCCCCTCTCTCCGAAGATTAGAGGTGATTTTACTCGCCTTTTCTCCCATGCTGCGCTGGTCTCACAGAGGTTGGCCCCGCTCATAGTAAAGCATTGTGAGATAATGGTGCATGCGTGGCAAAACGCAGCTGCGCCAGTCAGCATGTCCTCATAAAGATGCATTTCTATGGGGAACTACGATGATCACCAGTACACAAGAAGCCCCTCTAGTGGCCCCTGCAGTGACTGCCACTAGAGTTGTACCTCGCCAGCAGTATAAACACTGCCTTTTCTGAAAAGGCAGTGTTTAAATGCTAAGGTTGCAGGGACATGCTGTAGACACCAGGACCATTACATTAAAGGGACACTATAGTCACCAGTGCAACTACATGTATTCCTGACCCTATAGTGTTAACACAACCATCAAGCCCCCCCTGGGCCCCTAATGCCTCCATAAATATAGTTAAAATCTAACTGTATTCAAGCCAGAAGCTGTAATCTGCATGCTGTTAGACATAGGAAAAACAAGCAGCCTGATCCAATCATAGTGCTTCCCCATAGGATTGGCTGACACTGACAAGGAGGCAGATCAGGGGCAGAGCCAGCATGATTCAAACACTGCCCTGGCCAATCAGCATCTCCTCATAGAGATGAATTAAATCAATGAATCTCTATGAGGAAAGTTCAGTGTCTGCATGCAGTGGGAGGAGATACTGAATTACAGGATGCTCGTGCACAGAAGATCTGAGTGGATGGAGGCATATTATGGAGGTGTTCCTAGCTTTTCTCAGAAAATACAGTGTTTAAATGAGGCTGCAGGGAGCTATAGTTCTCACCTGAACAACCTCATTAAGCTGAAGTTGTTCAGGTGACTATAGTGCTCCTTTAAGCCGCAGTGGTTCTGGTGACTATAGTGTCCCTTTAAGGTTTCTAATGTGTGTTATATTGGAGACAGAGACACAAGTATTACAAGCAAATTAGGTAAATGCTCCACCACTGTGTTTAGGATTAACCCCTTAATCCTGAGTGCTGCCGAAATGCCTCATCTCGAACACTAACAGGGGGTTATGTAGTAAAAGATAATATAACAAACTTAGTTGATATGTATGTTCCAGGAGCTGTTTCTCAAATTCCCTGGAATTGTTATATGTGAAGTATAATATTTGGTGTTTATTCCATTTATTCTGCCTATAGCAGATTTAAAGGCGTATACACCATACACCACTGTTGCATTTTTTTTTCTAGTCCCTCTTAGAAAATATTGGAGTTCATCTGAGTGAATTTCTATATTATCACGTTTTAAGGTGTATACTTATACATCTTTCAAATACATTTGGATCTATATAGAAGACATAACATCATTCAAAGCCATTTTAGGTGGACCAGCTCCTGGAACATATATATCAACTAAGGTTGTTATATTATCTTTTACTACATAATCTCTCAAGACAGGTTTTTGGTGAATTCCTGTGTTTATCCAGTTTTGAGCAATCCACCCAAGTCCGATTCCCTCATACCTGTGTGTTGCATCAGGCATACCAGTTACCGTATATACTCGAGTATAAGCCGACCCGAATATAAGCCGAGGCCCCTAATTTTACCCCAAAAAACTGGGAAAACGTATTGACTCGAGTATAAGACTAGGGTGGGAAATGCAGCAGCTACTGGTAAATTTCTAAATAAAATTAGATCCTAAAAAAAATTATATTAATTGAATATTTATTTACAGTTTGTGTATATGATGAATGCAGTGTGTGTGGATGAATGCGCAGTGTGTGTAGAAGTGCAGTGTGTGTAGATGAATGCGCAGTGTGAGTGCATAAGTGCAGTGTGAGTGCATAAATGCAGTGTGTATGAGTGCAGTGTGTGCATGAATGCAGTGTTTGTGTATGAGTGCAGTGTGTGTGCATAAATGCAGTGTGTATGAGTGCAGTGTGTGTGAGTGCAGTGTGTGTGTGTATGAATGCAGTGTGTGTGTGTGTGTGTGTGATGCAGTGTTTGTGTTGCAGAGCCTTGGTGGGGGGTGGGCATTTTTATAAAAAAAAAAAAAATTAATATTATTTTAATTTTTTTTGTTATATTATTATTTTTTTATTATTATTTTTATTATTTTTTTTTATATATTATTAATGTATTTATTTTGTTGTCCCCCCTCCCTGCTTGATACATGGCAGGGAGGAGGGCTCTCCTTCCCTGGTGGTCCAGTGGCATTGGCAGTTCAGTGGGGGGAGGAGGAGGGCCGGCAGGAAGCATTTACTTACCTCTCCTGCAGCTCCTGTCAGCTCTCTCCTCCTCCGCGCCGGTCCGTGCAGCTCCTCTGTCAGCTCCCAGTGTAAGTCCCGCGAGAGCCGCACTATGATCCCACGGCTCTCGCGAGACTTACACTGGGAGCTGACCGAGGTGCTGACCGGACCGGCGCGGAGGAGGAGGGAGCTGGCAGGAGCTGCAGGAGAGGTAAGTAACAGCTCTGCCAGCCCCCAGTCTGTATTATGGCAATGTAAATTAATGTAAATTGCCATAATACAGACACTGACTCGAGTATAAGCCGAGTTGGGGTTTTTCAGCACAAAAAATGTGCTGAAAAACTCGGCTTATACTCGAGTATATACGGTAACTCTATTTTACTAACAGGGGGTTATTTACTGAAGTGAGAATTCCAAATGAATTCCAAATTTAAGGGCAACGCAGCCGAAAGCAAAACAGAGCTGACTTAAAGACTTTTCTGTTTTGGCTATTTTGATCTTAATTTGGAAATTCACTTTGAATTCTCACTTTAGTGAATAACTAAAATGTTATAATTTCGGCAGCACTGTTCTTTCTTCTGCAACCACACGCATAATGAACTTGGAGCCAGTAGCAAGGGTAACTTGGATCTCATATTAATGTTTTGAAGCAAATATTAAAAAATGCAGTTCAGATTGCAATAGCACTGAATAAGCTTGACAGTGTTACACAACATATTTAGTGATATTTTTATGTTTCATGGTTTATTTCCTGAATATTGACAATTTTAAAATTATTTCCCACATTGTTAGGCTTGTTGTCAATGTTTCCATTTTGCATTGTAGCTGTGTGTTATATATCATATTCTGGTCTGTATTAAAACTATATCTACAGGAAAAGTAACTCGACATTCTATCAGATGTTTGGCAATACAAAGCATATGTTTATCTTCTGAACAAGACAGTGTGTAAGTTAGCATGCCTAACTAAAATATTAAAACTGAGACATTCTACAGCCTTATACATTGCCATCATATCATTATTACATAACAAGTGGTATTTACGTTAATTCAAAATGATAGGAACATGGTTTATTTCTGAATAAAGTTCAAGGTGATATAGATTAGCAATGCAATTTATTTTCGGAGTATAAATAGGAAACTCACACCATTCTGATCATTTATGGATGATTGGAGTTGCTGCTAAAAAATGCTTTAATGATAGTGTATTCGTAGCATAAACCAGTGCCTGCTATTCTCAGAAAATGTGTACTTTTTATCTAATGTAAATTGTATGAAATGTGTGTTTTGTTAAAAGAATTAATTGTGACAAAGGCCTATTTTTAAAAATTTGTTTTATATAGCGTTGAACAGCACCATTTAAGGACTTTATAGCAGTGTGTGAGTGTATGTATCGGATAACAAAAAATGTAGCTCAGCGTGAAGCCTTCTCATTGGAGTATTGCAATCTTGGTATGTGGACATTGAAGAACTGTAATTTTGGCCCACTCTTCTTTACAACATTGGTTCAGTTAATTGAGGTTTTCTGACATTTGTTTATGCACTGCTCTCTTAAGGTGCCTCCACAGCATTCCAATTGGGTTGTGGTCTGGACTTTGACTGGGTCATTGCAGTACCTTGGTTCTTTTATTTATTTTTCAGCCAGTCTGTTGTAGATTTGCTGGTGTGCTTGCTAGTTCATTATGGCCTAACATCTCTACTTTGGTCTCGTCCATCCAACGGACATTGTTCCAGACGTCTTGTGGTTTGCTCAGATGCAACTTTGCAAACCTATTTCGTGCTGCTGTGTTCTTTTTAGAGAGAATAGGCTTTCTCCTGGCAACCCTTCCAAAGAAACCATGCTTGTTCAGTGTTTTTCTAATTGTGCCATCATGAACATTTACATGTAACATGCTAACTGAGGCTTGCAGAGTCTGAGATGTAACTCTTGGGGTTTTTTTTCAATTTCTCTGAGCATTGCACGGTCTGACCTTGGAGTGAATTTGCTGGGACATCCACTTCTGGGAAGATTGGCAAATTTCTTGAATGTTTTCCACTTTTGAATAATCTTTCTCACTTTTAGAATGATGGACTTTAAATTGTCTGGAAATTACTCTATAACCCTTTCCATTAATTGCTTCTCTGAGATCATTGCTGTTTTCCTTCTCCTTGGCATTGTGTTAACACATACCTGAATGCTCCAGACCAGCAAACTGCTGAAACTTCAGCTTTTATAGATGTAGTCTCACTTGCTGATGATCAATTAACGGCATTTGATTAGCAGCACCTGTCTGCTACTTGGCCTCTTAATTCCTATGGAAGCGGTTACGGGGGTACTTAGTTTTTCCCAGATTGCTTCTCCATTTTGGCTTTATTTTTGTTAAATAAAAATGACACGGTGTAATAAGTCATATGCATACTCACACACATACACATTCATATACTCACACAAACATTTGATTTTTATTTGGTGCTGGGATCAGTTTGTGCACTGACTGCACAGCTTCCTGCATTTCTGTACTGATGCCAGGGGTGGGGTGATGTCACATGCCAGGTCTTGGCATAAGTACAGTGCTGCCAAGGAGCAGTTCAGTCAGAGAACAGACTTAACCCTGCAGCCCTCAAGGTCTGCTTACGAAATCTAAATCTTCACCAACAGTGTTTGAATTCCTAACGCTAAAGTGTTCCTTTAAATTTCACTTTGAACTCCCACCAATTCTCACTTCAGCAAATAAGCCTGTCAGTGTTAAAACCAAGAAACACCCATTATCCTTAGCATCATCAGGCTTGTTTGGTTAAGTCTAAAGGGTAATCAAGACACTCTTCAAAATGGTTTGACAAAAAACAGACTCCATACAAAGCCTTGTTGCACGACAAATACAATAGACTATATTGGATATGGGTGCAGTTCACTTCCTACAATGATTTTATGACTACAGTCCCCATAATGCACTAAGCTCACGATATTGCAGGTCACGTGATCCATTTACCCAAGCATATTAATTCCGTTTAAGCCATTGTTTTATAATCTAATCATTTTTGTTTTTTTAAATATATTCAAACATTTGTATGTCTATTTTAATTCACACTATATTACTAATTATTGTCCCATGATGACGTCACTTTGGCACCAAAATTCCAACTAGTTTATGTCTGAAAGCCTATAAATATATTTACTTGCCAGGTATACAGTTTACTGCCCACTTTCAAAAGCACTGCGTGGCGAAACACTCTGTGGACTATTTTACTTGTATTAAATAAAGGAATATATATATACCATTGTATCTTAGTTTAGTGTGTTATATATTTCCTTTAAAGTTTCTTTACAAAACCATTTATCCCGCTAACCTGGCGTCTAGAACATCTTCTGCAATCAGACTGGCTGAAAGTATCATTGGTGGGGATTATACCGACTACGCTTGAATCAAAGAGCGGTTTGACTGCTCCTCAGAACGTGAGCAATTTTTCTTCCCACTTCTGTTTTAATTTGAAATAGAGAGCACTATTGTTCTCTCTTCTTTTGTCTTTGAGCTATATTTGTCTTCACAATAAGCTGGCCTGGAACACCTACAACGTATATACTGTAACTGTGTCACTGCTTCCGGCTCGCTGCATCGCGCCCGACCAGCACCATCACACCGACAAGCTGAGCTTACTTGCTCACCGACGAGTCGGAAACCGCTCCTCCGGATCTTCTGGGCAGTTTGCCCAAAACAAAGATGGCGCCGACTATGCGGTCGCGGTCATCAATGACTCCGCCCCCCAGGGTTATACGACCGTGCGTGTGACGTCACGACACCAACGCACACACATGTTCTGGGGTCAGAGGTCACCCTCTGACCAATTGCAGTCTAGAGAGGGATATATAAATCCCTGAAACGTCCCAGTACCTTGCCTCGTCGTGGTTTCCTGTCCTGGTTCCCAAGAGTGCGTTTATCTTTGCTATTATTGTGATTTCCGGTATTTTGACCTTGGTTATTCCTGATTACGCTGATTTCTGGTTCCCCTGACTTGGCTTGTTTAACGGTATTTGTGTATTTCTGGCTACTTTGTGCTGCCGACTGGACCCTACAAAAGAATCCTAGGTGGGGATTGTGGGGATCTGCTCTTTAATTTGTGAGTAATATTCCACTTATTACTATTATCCAACCAGAAGCTTACAGAGAGCACTATTGTTTGTTTCCTATTTCTCTTTTGGGTTGGATGGTACAAAAGTAGCAAAGCTCACCAGAATTTCCTCACCACATATTTGGCTGACAAGATCCTGTTGTACAGTTACTTTTTAAAAGACTGTTGCTGCTTACCATTACCTCACCAGACGTACCGTTTTTTATTCCTATTATCAATTGTATATTTTAGTTTTTTATTTTTTATTTTTTTTATTCTCTGCTCTTTTTCAATGTCTTGTTTTTATTGAATTCTATACGTTAGATGTACATAGAGAACGAGAATGATGAGGGGTACAGAAAGGAAGAGGGAAGGGGGGTAACATTTACTTTGTAGTATTATAATGTCATACACATCTTTACAATCCTAACACATGAAAAATGAGAGTACAGCATATACTTGCGAAACAAAATACAAGAAGCGAGTGGTTTGGACGGCACCAGCGGGTATACCAGGATGGTGGGGGTCGCATGAGGTCGTGGCTGGTAGTACTAATAAGGTGTCTTACTTGGGGGGAGTGGGGGAATTGTACACCCTCTTCGAGGCCCGAGTAGGCACTTTTTATGTGAGAGAGTTACCAGCTTGAGCCTATAGATATTGTACGTGAAATAGTGAGATAGTGGTTGTGCGGTATAGGATGGCTGGTGGGTTATACTCTGTCCTCCCGAACTCCCCATATGGCGATTCGATCCCTCCTTAGTTTGGGGTAGGTGCCTAATGCCAGCTTTGCCATAGAAGTGTGTGTTTGGTCTCACGGTCTTTCAGTCTAAACGCTAGGCGTTCATATTCGTATGTCGAGTGGATCCTATTATGTACTTCCTGAATAGAAGGGGGGTCAGAGCTTTTCCATCTGCTCGCTATGCTGGTTTTGGCTGCCAGGAGGATATGGCACACGACCACTTTGTGAGGGGATGTCAGCATACCAGTGTGTATATGAAGGAGGCAGCATTCTGGGCGTGCGGGTAAGTCTACCTTTGTGATGGATTTGATCAAGTCTCTGACTTGTTGCCAGAATTGTGTCAGTATGGGGCAGCCCCAGAATATGTGTAGTAATGTGCCCACTCCGCTCCCGCATCTCCAGCAAGTCTGAGGCGTTGAGTGGTACATCTGGGCTAGACGCGTAGGCACTAAGTACCATCTCATAAGTAGTTTGCAGTAAGCCTCCCAGTGGGTTAGGTTATGGGATGCCGCTCGGGTAATTTGGATAAACTGTAGCCACATAGGGAAGGGGAACTGGGCTGCTAGGTCAATTTCCCACTGGAGCATATATGGGTGTTTTGTACATCTGTCCGCATTGTTTAGTGCATTGTAGCACAGAGAAAGGGGTTTATTAGTCTGATGTTTGGAGATGCAACTCCGGCCTGAAAGTCGACATTTGTTCCACCTCGCAGTTCTGTATCATCGCAGCAGTTATAGTGTGTTTGATGCGTACGCATGTGAATATTTTTATTCTCTGCTCTTAATACCACAAATATATTTATTTATTTATTTTACTAGTACATGCCAAATCATTTTATGAAGTGTCCAATTACATTAAAGGACCACTATAGGCACCCAGACCACTTCAGCTTAATGAAGTGGTCTGGGTGCCTGGTCCAGCTAAGGTTAACCCTTTTTTTTTTTTTTTAAACATAGCAGTTTCAGAGAATAGGTTAATCCAGCCTCTAAAGCCTCTAGTGGCTGTCTCATTGAGAGCCGTTAAAGATGTTTGCATGCTTCTCACTGTGAGAAGACGCCAGCGTCCATAGGAAAGCATTAAGAATGGTTTCCTATGTGACTGGCTGAATGCGTGCGCAGCTCCTGGGGCACCCTCAGGGCACTATAGTGCCAAGAAAACAAGTATGTTTTCCTGGCACTATAGTGGTCCTTTAAGGTGTTTTTATCTGGTTGTTTGCTTTGTTTTTCTTTGAGGAGCTATTGTCCAAAAATGCTAACAGGGTTTTTTGTTGAAAACTGTAGGGAATTCAAAGTGAATTTCAATATTATTTTTTTTTCCAGACAACTGTGCTAACAGCTCGGCTTTTTTGGTCCACAGCTATAGTCACTGTTTTGGCTATTTTCGTTAAAGAAACAATCTGGTAACCACAACAACTTAATCTCTATTAAGTTGTTTAGGTGCTTCGAAGTCTTTGCTGTCTTAGCTTAAGGGATTCCACTTTATATGAATGGTTTAACCCACAAAGTGGTCCAGATGGTTGCCATCTTTTATGTTCTTGTGTCGCGTCTGTGGCTTCATTGCGGAAACCTCAGACTTTGCACTGGTAATAGGCTAAGATTGCCACATGATGGTTTTTAACCTTATAACTGGCTTCCGATTGAGAACATAGGAATGAGAAAGGGACATACATTTTCTTTTAATTCCGTTTTGACACCCTCTCTTGATTTCAAACAATAGTTTAGTTTTTCTATAAAAAAAAAAACCTCTATATTTAACTTTTATCCAGTTAAATATAGTCATAGTAAATAGCCCTCCATCTCTTTTCTCCCAGTGTCCCTCATTTTCCTCTATAGAAGACCCCAACTCCTCCATTCTGTAAATTCTAATTTCTCTAGTCCTTGTATTTTTATCATACTTTAAACTAGAAAGTCAAGCATTAGCAGCAGCATAACACACGTATATTGGTGCATTAGAGGACAAGTAAAGTCGAAATATTTTGCAAAGTTTTTTTAAAATGAAATATTAGACAAACCCATTTTGAGTAATACAAATGGTAATATAAAATAAAGGATTAATGCACATTGTTGGAATATTAATATCTTATCTCAGACAATGCCATGGGTGCACAAACATAAATTGACTTAATCTTCCCAAGCCGTTACAAGTAAAACATTTTTTTTCAAAATAAATAAAAGACAGAATGAGTGAGGTTAATGGTGTAGGGGCAAACTATTACAATGATATGAGAGCGTGGTAATGAATGAGCTATGATTGGATGGTCAGATTGTATTGTCAAGCAATAAAATAAGATTAAATAAAGGGTGGGGGGTGGCTAAGGGCACAGGCAATAGGGGGAGCCAGTGTGTTGCAGTTGGTTGAGAGAGGCCACGGCATTCAGACGTCCACTTCACTCCCCACCCAAGTAGGCCGCAGTCTCAAAGGCTTCGGATTGTCCACAGAGGATCCAAACTTCCTGTTCTTGGATTCTGCAGCAGCACCAGCAGTCTTTGCACAATTAGCCTCAGTTTTTCTGGTGCAAGGCAAGAAAAATATCTATTGTTATCAGTGAAAAAGGCCAGAATTTTCAGGAGCCGCTGCTACATGTACAGCATGGCCTTCGCGCTCTGCCCTTCTGTTTTACAGTTTTATGCTCTGCTAACTACATTCACAATACTTTCTTCCTTGATCTCATTTCTTAGTGTCTCACTTTATCGATTTAGCTTACATATTCTATTGTCTTATTCCATTCCAGCATCCCCAAAGACCCTTTATAACATTCTAGCAGGAGATGCATGATACAAAAAGTAGGTAACATTGCTGGTATAAATATTCCAGAAGTAACATGTCAATAAGTATTACCATAGGATCAGAGAGGAGTATAGACCATGTTGGGTGAAGTTACCAGCTTTCAGGATTTAGACGTGCATATCTATCAAAGTACCATTTTTGTTTTATAAATTATAAACAATATTCCAATAAATTCCAGAGTCATAATGGGTGAGGTGCAAGAAGATATAATGGTGTATTATTTAGGACAGGGGTGCCCAAATGGCAGATCTCCAGATGCTGTAGAACTAGAACTCCCATGATGCTTTGCATGGCTTTAGAATTACAAAGTATCATGGAAGTTGTAGATTAAAACCATCTGGGCATTCCTGATTGAGACAGACATATACCACCATGCAGGTATACACAAACAACACAGAACACAGAGCATGACATACAGATTTCATTTTTATTAAGACAGGTGTGTCCGGGCGCCTTCTTATCTTAAGT